ATAGTAATATGATTAATCATACGTTCCGTAAAACTTTAATCGTTTTACAATTATTCGAAAATAGGGAAATTCAACACATAAGCTTTGAAATTAAATTTAAATTTCTAGGACGTTCGGGTGCGGTGTCACAACATGTGCTATGTATCGACTAAAAACCAAACAACATATGGAATCTATTACATTTTTGCATTTTTAATTTGCATATATAGTTATTCACTTCTCAATATCTGGTATCCTGCCAATATGGAAAGAAAACATTAAACATCAAAGTATCGACTAAAAAGTATAAAAATTCTATGATGATGTACCAAGAATGTCTCTTATAAAAACATGACAAGATGACCAAATTTATGTATTTGATACTACATGTTAACTAAGTAGTTTGGGAATTTAGTGAAGCTGGAAAGCGAGCCCAATGACCTAGTCGAATTTTCGTTTCTCTGCCCCTTTCCCTTGCTTCTTCGCCTTCGAGAGACCCATACGCCTTTCGCTCACTCTTCTTTCCCCGACAACTCAAAGTGTAAAATGATAAAATTGGTTGGGGATTGGGGAAGGACTTCAGTGCAATAAATATATTTTTAATTAAAAAAACTGAGCTGGATTAAATTACCAATCAGATGCTGCCAAGTGTGGAGTGCATCAAAACATCCCCAACACAGATGCACCGTAAAATTTTCCTAAAATATATTTCAATTAAATTAGAAACCCGAAACTAGGAATCCAAAATTGTTGTGCAAGCGGCTAAGCGATAAGACCACTTGGAGTGGTGTAGGATTAGGAGTCCAAAATGCTAAAAGTGGAATTTTTGGACTCATAATTCCTTGTAGTGGTTCACAATTTGGGGGAGTAAAAGTGGGTAATGGGATGGAGGGTTTCAAATTTGAAGGGTAGAGTTGACTCCCTCAAATTAAATGGAAAAGGAAAAGTAAAAGGGGTGGAGGACGGACAGGCTGCTGCGCAGAGGAAAGATGCCATAGTGGGCCATACAAGCGCAAGTTTTAATTCATTTAATGACGTCATGATGATGTCATGATGTTGTCATTGGGCACTTCCAACGGCTCTAGCTTGTTTGTAATTAAAAAAATTGGTAGATCCGACGACTGTGATGATTTGGACACTGTTTGAACGGGAAAAAAATTGATCCAATGGCTGAAATTGAAATCCAACGGTTAAAATAATTTATTTTATTTTTCCTTTATTTTCAATTAATATTTTGACCGAAAATCCTATATAAACACTCCATTTCTTCCTATTTTAATCACACATCTCTCATCTATCTCATTCTTCATCATATTTTCTTTACTATCTAAATTTTTGTGATGTCTTCCTCAAGAAGAGGTGCTAAGTGGAGTGTTAGGGAGGATGTTGCTCTATGCAACGCTTGGGTAAGCATATCCGAAGATGGTGCGATTGGCATAAATCAACCGGGGAGAGTTTTTGGCGCCGAATTCACGTATCATTTTCGCAAAATTGTGACGTTCCACGAAGTCGGGATTCAATTGAGTCTCGTTTCAAGATCATCAATCACCAATGCTCTTCATGGAAAGCATGTGTGCGGAAGGCGAACGCAACCCCGACGAGTGGGTCGAACTTAGCCGATTTGGTAACTTATAAACTACTTCATTATTTCATTTTAATTCATAAAGTATATATTAATATATTTTATATAATTATATTAATATTTTGAAGAGACATAAATAAATGTTTAGAGAGAGATATATAACTATATATATAACTACAATTAATAAAGTGTATGGTAATATATATGTATATTACTAGATTAATATTTCTGAGAGAGATATATAACTATATGTATATACTAGTATTAGTACATATATCTATAATTAATAAAGTATAAAATATATATTTTCAAAATATAGATATAACTATGTAATTAAAACATTTAATTATATTACTATGCATTTTACGCATTTTTTTATATTGTAGGATTTTCAAGCCAAGAACATTTTCATGAATGATAACCATGGCAAGCCATTCAAATATGAGCATGTGTGGCGTATCCTTCACTCGTGCCCAAAGTGGTACCAACAATACGAAGCTCCGGTATCATTCACCCGAACAATATCGTATCCATAATCGCACGATTCGCCCACATTCGGAGGTAGTGCTAGCTCTCCCTTAGGAGAGCCACTTCAATGCCCTGAAGGGCGGGACAAACAAAAAGCCAAAAGAAGTGGAAAGGCAAAGGCGTCTAAGCTAGATCCCATGATGACGCAATGTTTTCAAGAAATGATTGAGCAAGGCAGAGAACAAGCTGCAAGAAGAGCGAAGCGTGATGAGCTTCAACACAAAGTCGTGGAGTCAGAGATTATGAAAAACCAGTATGACTTACTAGCTGCGGACCTTTCAAAGTTTTCACCGAGGAAGCAAAGGTGGATTAGACAAAAGCAAGATGAAATCGTGGGGTATTCTCAAAATGCCTCAAGTGATATTCCCGACACTTCGGCAGAAGAAGAAGTGTACCGTCCCCACTTCTATTTCTAGTTATTTAGTATTGTTGTTTTTATTTTGTATTGTGTTGTAAGTTGAATTTCATGTATGTTTCAATTTTAAATTCCATGTTTTGTTATTTGAATTCATTCCATGTGTTATTATTGTTGTATATTTCATGTTTGAATTCGATTGTGACGCATCATATACTCACTCAAGGTTGGGCCATCATGGTTAAGATCTAATTCAACGATGCCACCAATATAGTCATAGTCTTCACGGTAGTCTTGTTGGGTTGGTTCTTCATCCTTCTCTTCATATTCATCTTCCACTATCATGTTTTGCATTATAATGCATGCCAAAATTATATCACCTAATGTGCGTATGTTGTGCAAGCGTGCAGGTCCTTGCACAACAGTCCACCTAGCTTGTAAAATTCCAAATGCTCTTTCAACATCCTTACGAAAAGCCTCTTGCATTGAAGCAAAAAGCTTTTTCTTAGGAGTGTCTGGATGACTTGTTGTCTTGACAAAAGTTCCCCAACTTGGGTGATGGAGTATATGGGTCTGAGCCCCCGGACCCACATACTCGGAGGAACAGAAAGCGCAAGACACAGAGTGGCACCCTCGTCGGCCAAGACGCCCCCGTCGGCCGAGAAGGGGCCAACTCAGATTATGGTCCTGAGCCCAAAGAACCTGGGTGCCCTCGTCGGCCGTGCCCTCGTCGGCCGTTCCCTCGTCGGCCACGCCCTCGTCGGCCACGAAGACCTCCCAGAACCGGATTTTACACTTACTCATTTGTACAGCCCATTAGTGGCTTTGTATTCGGCCCAGTAGCGGTCCAGTTGTAAATGGGCCTCCTAAGCCCAAGGCTTGGGAGCCCAGCCCGTATTTTCTCTATAAATACTCCCCTTGGGAGTAGTTATAGGGGTTACAAATTCATTCTATTGGAGCATATTATTGCACTTCTCTCTCTAGCTCTCACTTCTCTCTAGATATACTCTATCATTGGGTAAATCCCGTCGGCTAAATAATAACATCGATTATATGACTTACCGTCCACGTGGAATTGTACATGTGGGGGCAGATCCATTTACAACAACATTAAAGACCGGAGATCTTGCAAGGATGTTGAGGTCATTATTGGAACCGACTGTGCCAAAAAATGCATGCCATATATGAGTATCATAAGAAGCAACTGCTTCGAGCACAATTGTTGGTTTTCTTTTGTACCCGGTGTACTGACCGACCCAAGATGTAGGACAGTTTTTCCACTCTCAGTGCATGCAATCAATTGACGCAATCATCCCAGGAAAGCCTCTCTTTGAGGCCTTTTCAAGAAGACGGTGTAGATCTCCGGGATTAGGGGTTTGTAGGTACCAAGAACCATACACACTAATGATTGTCCTACAAAATTTCTTCATGCACAATAGTGTGGTCGTCTCACTCAAATGAGGTGTGTGACTCCAATGTCAAGTAGAATACTTGAAAATAGGAGAAGTGAAGATGAGGTGTGTGACTACAATGTCAAGTGAGACCACGTATTTGTAGTAATATAGTTCTTTGATGCTCACACCAAGTGGAGAATACATCCAAATTATTATGTTTGGATACACCAAGTGGAGAATAGCATCCAATGTGCTATGAAAGGGCAGACATAGTGAAAAAGAGAATCCAATGTCATATAATGTGATATGAATGACACACATAATGGAAAAGAGAATACAATGTGATATGAATACACACAACAAGTTGAAAAGGAAATCCAATGTGCTATGGATAGACACACAAGTTGAGAAGAGAATCCAATGCTCCAATGTGTCTGAACTCACTTCATCGGAAAACAAAAAAAAATTAATGAAATTTGTTTTTTTACATCGAAATGTGTCTTTTTTATTTTATAATTAAGTAGAGAAAAAATTAAAAGAAAAACATTACTTATAATAATTTAATTAATGTTTCACTAAATTGATATGTAAAAAGATGTGCAGAGTGTATTTTATTGACGGTGCTGGAATGCAGAGAAATAGGAGTCAAAACACTGTTTTCATATGCACGGAGTACATTTTTGACATTTAGACTCTCCCACCATCTAAGAGCATCTCCAATGCTATAGTGTGCACGGTGCACATGTTGCATCAAAGATAACCACATAAAAATTAGCAAATAAATTATCTCTCTCCTTATTTGAATGATTTTATACAATATTGGTAAGTTTTCTCCTGCAATATCAAGTGCAATGTCAACATCTAGACGGTCTCCTTGACATTGTGGAGAAAAACTTATCAAAACTGCATAAAACCATTCAAATAAGGATATAAACAATTTATTTACTACTCCCTCCGTTCCCCTATAATTGTCCCATTTTTTCATTTTTGCATGTCCCTTTATTATTGTCTAATACCATATTTGATAACATTTGTGTGACTCTAATTCATTCTTACTTTATTTTGACTTTATCAACTCATTATCAACCACATAATTCTACTTTTCTTAAAAACTACATCACTCTCTTCCGTACTAATATTAGGGAGACGGTGCTAGTGTGCTGCCCTGGCTTCCGAGTTCTCAGAATTATTTTTGTTGGAAAATAGGGGCTGAATATTTTGCGGGTACAGCCAACGTCACGAAAAAGCCCAGAATCAAAACCCGCCGCCGCTGCTCTTGCTTAATCTCAGAGTGCTGATCTAGTCAGAGACATGGAAGGAATAGTAGAGATGGAGGTAGAAGAAGATTCTGCTCTTATCTCTAACTCTTTCAATCGCGTCGGACTGAAAAACTTCATCCAAACTAATTTTGGAGACGATTACGTTTTCGAAATCGTTCCCAAGTACGTTTTTCTTATCTTTCCAAGCACTTACTATTATTATTTTTAACTGGAGTGTCTGAAAAGTCAATGTTTCCTTTTTATCATTCGCTTCCGGTAGTTAATAGTTTGTGCTCATTCAATGAAAGCAGGGGAGATTGGACGTCAATGGCGGTTTCATTGTCGACAAATACGGTGAAATTTTACTGTCCTGTGAGTGGGCAGTATTTTGGGGAGTGCAAGGGTCACTCTTCAACGATTAATCACATTTCCTTCGCGAACAGCCCTTCAGTTTCGCATCTTCTGCATTCATGTTCTTCAGATGGTACTATCAGAGCTTGGGACACCAGAACATTCCAACAGGTTTACGACCTTGCCTTCTTTGTTTTTCCGCATATCTGAATGGCTATTTATAATTGTTAATTTCTTTTTATAATTTTATCAAATGCGTTTGTATTGTATGCAGGTATCCTGTATTTATGCTGGGCCTTCTAAAGAGTTATTCAGCTTCTCATTTGGTGGAGCTTCAGATAATCTTGTTGCAGCGGGGTGCAACTCTCAGGTGCACTTTCACATAGATGGAGTGTTTTTTACTTTTAACTAATTTAAAAGTAAAAACTTTCTATCCATGCTTAATTTCCCCATACAGTAATAGGAACTTAAGAAGTTGCAGAGGCATAATACGATATTTATACACTCTCTAGGCATTTTGTCTATGTATTCTGTTGTTCTTAGGACCTGTTGTCCTCATTTGTTTCTAGCACAAGATCATACTTGCAAGTTGCAACACATAATATTATATGTGGGCTTGTGAAACTAGTCCATAACTGACTAGACTAGACCCTGAAAAACAGCCATAGAGGACATGCCCTTAGTAGGGGGTGGTAGAATTTTCGGAAAGGGGGATAAAACAGAGGGAGGAATTTATAACAAAAGTACATTATTACACATTTATCCTTACATCGTAATATCGTATTTACAATTATGGCTTAAATACGTTTTTAGTCCTTTCAAATATGACACACTTTGTTTTAGGTCCCTGCAAAATAATGTTTTTCATCCTTGTAATATGCACTATTTTGTTTTTAGTCCTTCTGTAATTCCAAAATCACTCTACCTAGAAAAAATATTATTTCAGTTGCATAAATCTACTAGAAATATTTAAATTTGTCTTTTTATAATTTTTTTGAGACTAATATGAGTGTTAAAATAATGTAAAACTAAGTATACACATTTTAAAAATATATATTAAAATCCTTCAAAAATTAAAATAAAATAGTTTTTGAATAACATGACAAAGAATCAGAGGAAACCTATTAATTGGGGTTATTTTTAGGTCAAGTGGACGTTATTATCATCGCTGATGGACTAAAATGAAATCTAACATAAATTGCAGGGATGAAAAACAAAAAAAATAATTTTGCAAGGATGTAAACCAAAATGAACTATATTTGCAGGGACTAAAAACATATTTAAACCTACAATTAGTGGTTTTACTGTTCATTTCTATTAGTTCTCACCCTAGCTTGGGAATAAGCTGCAGTTAGTCCTGCTCACCGAACTGAATAAGTGCGTGGAAGATGTTATATTTTCCTTCCTTCACATCTTTTGTGTGGCATTTATTTGCTTCCAAATGCAGTGCAGGAAAAGTATTCACCGAGTAGATGTCAATGTTATTTAAATCTATATTAATGGATTGCATTCCGGAAACAGTCTCTCTGTGCTTTAGTATAGGGGTAAGACTGCGTACATGCGACCCCCTCTTACCCCACCGTAGGTGGGAGCCTTTGCGGCACTGGGGTAAATGAAAATGATGATTAATGGATTGCGTTGCATTTTGATATAGATTCATGTATATTACTACCTCTCTCAAAATGAAAGTAACAATTTACTATTCACAATTCAACACACTCTACTTTTGATCTCTATTTTTATATATCAGATTTTTTATCATATTCAAATATTGTTATGTAATAATAGTTTTAATGTAGTCTATGGATATGTCAATTTTAATTTCTAATTCTAATTAGAATATTGTCTTGAAGAAGTTTGCTTTGTCATTGGTCAAACCTTAATATTCGCAATGTTACTTAATCTTTGGGACAGGAAGGAGTAGTGTTCTTCCATTCTGCGAACCTGTTTCCATTGTTTTCAGATGTAATCCGTGTTATTTATCATGATATTCTTTGCAGATACTTTTCTGGGATTGGAGGACCCAAAAACAGGTCGCGTGCTTGGATGAGTCGCATATGGAAGATGTTACTCAAGTATGTTCTTGTTTTTCCATCATGCAGTTTATTCTTTATTGCTGTTGCTTGATTTTTTAGCTATCATGTGCGATTCTAAGGGTTCTCACTTGTCCGTCTATTCTTGTTTGCAATAGGTTTTTTCTCATTTATGTGGTTTTTCCTTGTGGTTAAAAATAGGTTAAGTTTATTCCAGGCCACCAAAACAAGCTTCTTTCTGGTTCTGTTGATGGATTAATGTGCTTATTTGATACTAGTGGGGAAATCAATGATGATGATCATTTGGCCTCAGTAAGTAATAATTTTATATGTTTAATCCATTTTGTTCTTTATTCCAAGTAATTGTTTTGTTCAGTTTTTTTTTGCATTTTTATACCCTGAAAAACGTATCAAGTTTGAAGTATTGCATTTCTTTATTACTCCCTCCGTTTCACAATCTTTGACACAGTTTGACTTGTCAAGAATTAAGGAAAAAATGTTACTGAGGGGTAAATTTTACTGTAGAGTACACTGTTTGGCACTGTTTGAACACTGTTTGGCACTTTTTGAACACTGTTTGACACTGTTTTGCACTGTTTTGGTAAATATTTGTTTACCAAATAAGGAAATAAGGAAGTGTGTCATTGATTGTGAAACAACCAAAAAAGGAAAGTGTGTCAAAGATTGTGAAACGGAGGGAGTATTAAACTAGTGTTTTTCAGTTTTTGCATTTAATCAACTTAATGCCTTAGCAAAGTTCTTCAAATGCAGGTGTTCAATGTTGGGACATCAATTGGAAAAGTAGGATTTTTTGGACAAAAAAATCAGAAACTTTGGTGTTTAACTCATATTGAAACTTTAAGGTATGCTTTCTACACAGGAAAATTTGGGATTTTTTTAGACTGCTAATCTAAACCATTTTATACCTTTAGAACCCTTTAGTAAACAGTCTCTCTATGATTAGTACATGGGTAAGACTGTGTACATCCGACCCCCTTTTACACCACCAAAGGTGGGAGCCTTTGCGGCACTGGGCTAATGATGATGATGATGATGATGATGAGAGCCCTTTAGTAAGGATTATTTGGTTGAAATGGCTAAACACGTTATGTTTTTAAAGGAAACGCGCCAAAGCTACTTACATAGCTGATAAGCAGAATATGCCTAATCTGGCTATCAAACAAGCTCTTAGTTACTAGACAGACACAAGCTGACAAGCATCGTTTGCTTTACGCTCATGTGTTATTATTTTATATCTTTTATTAGTGTGTGGGACTGGCAGAATGAAAAGGTTGAAGCAACATTTGAGGATGCCCGCTCATTGGCCTCCAAAAACTGGATTCTTGATGAGGAGGTATGTCAGCGGCTTTTATGCTTGTTTGTTTTTTAAGGGAAAGATTATTACGATATTCTCATTATATAAGATGAATATTCTCTCCACATTAAGACTTTGTTTGGCAAAGTAGAAATAGGAGAGAAAATTTGAGCTGGGAGAAATACATGTTTCTTTCCTTTGTTAGGAATATAAAAATGAAAGAGGAGTTAAAAAGCAGACCCTGAAGGAGAAATATGCATAAAATTCCGTCGGTGCCTATGACCTCTATAAAGAATGGCCTCTAATATAAAAAGTGGACCGTATCTCTAGGCATTTGTCTTTTTTTATAACGAAAACCCCACAATCCTTCATTTCAAAATATAATCAAGGTGGTGATGGTGAACCTGTAATGTGAGAAGTTTGCATTCATTCTCCCGATTATGATATATCTCACATGTGTGACTGGTTGATTGCAGGTGGACTATTTTGTAGATTGCCACTACTCGGCTGAGGAAGATAGATTGTGGGCCATAGGTGGGACAAACGCTGGCACATTAGGATACTTTCCCATAGATTACAAAGGGGCACACCCAATCGGGCCACCAGACATGGTTTTACAAGGCGGCCATGGAGGTGTTGTTAGGAGTGTGGTGCCAATGTTGGCAAGATTGCCTACCAATGGCAGCAGGATCACCCAAAATAATGGCATCTTTGGATGGAGTGGAGGTGAAGACGGTCGCCTATGTTGTTGGCTATCTGATAAATCTGCTGATACAAACAAATCATGGATCACAAGCACTCTAGTTCTGAAATCCCCAAAGCCACACTTGATAAAGAGGCATTCTCCTTATTAGGCAGACATCTTATGTTGTAAAGTACATTGTAGTCTATACGAAGTATTTATTATGCAACGCTCATTCTCAATTTCTCTTGGTAGAAAAATGCATTAGTGAAACAACCCAATTGCATTGGAATTGGAAACCTTCAGTCAGGTCCATTTTTAGGAAGCCAGAACTTGACCATGTTTAACCATCCAACAAGTCAATAACGTGACTATTGACTTATGAAAAATGCTATATTACAATTTGCTTGGTGAAAAATGATACTCCCTTTGTCCCAAAAAGATTGGTCAATTTGATTTTTCTTGATCAAGGATGATCAAATTTGACCAATGATATTTTTAATACAAAATTATTTAAAATATAAAAAATATATGAGCATATTCTTTATTAAAAAATCTTTCATAAAAGTATAAAATTTATAAATTATATACAAATATAATACTTATAGTCATTGTCTAAATTTTAACACCATTCATCAAGAAAAATCAAATTGGCCAATCTTTTTGAGACGAAGTAGTATATTACAATTTGCCGGTCATTCACCAAGCTCACTTTCTCTTACCTGATGGCTGATGACCACCTAACAATAAAGGAAAAAGATAGCCTAATGGTACACTTCCAAATTTCTGAAATGAAAGCAAAGTAACTATAACAACCCTCCAATAACCTCCATTAAGTCACTAACGTGACTTTCATTTTCATTTTCATTTACCCCACTCCCACAAAGGCTCCCACCTACGGTGGGGTAAGAGGGGTCGGATGTACGCAGTCTTACCCTTGTACTAAAGCACAGAGAGATTGTTTCCGGATGACCCATAGTGAAAATCCCGTCCAAAATTGTAGGGGTGGGCATAAAACCCGAACCGAACCGGTACCGAACCGTCCTGTAATGGTACCGAATCGAATACCGGGTATTTAAACGGTTCTATAGATTTTTATCCCGTACCGAAACCGTACCGTTTGAAACGGGTATGTGACCGGTCCTAGAATTTGGGAACCGAAAAATACCGGACCGACCGTTCGTAAATAATGCATTTGAATTTTTTATATTTTTTCTATATCAATAGATCTAGACCAACAATTTTATACCCCAATTATGTATTCATGTGTCCCTAAGATATCAAAAATGTGTTGTTTATATATACATTGTTAGTTCTTCTTTTTAGATAATTTATGTTATATTTTGGTATGTGTTGAAAGAATATTAAAACTTTAGAAATCATTAATGATTATTTATTTCTAGTAATATAGTGTATATGACTTTTCGTTGTATCATGTTTGTGCATTTTTTACAACTTAATTAATATGGTTTAAATCTTAGCTCTCAAGGTTCAACTATAAATTAAATTAGAACTACAGAGTAATATTTAACCTAGAACGACGAAGAAGAACGTTGAAGATTTCTATTATATTCAACAACTTGATGATATTCGTTTTTATATTTTCACATGAACTTAGTAAATTAAAAATGATATTTATCTCATGCGTCACCGTTTTGCTATACTTTTTCTCAACTGTGTTGCATTATTTGTATATTTGTGAATTTTAGTACTAGGTATGCAATTTCTTGTACTTATTTCAACATTTATGTGAGTTAATTGATGTGATGATATCTACTAATTGCAAGATTTGTTCAAAAATTTTAGCTTATGTTTGGCATTGTCTGTACCGTTTTGTACCGTTCTGAAACGATATGGTACCGAATGGTTCTATACTTGGAATCGGACCGTACCAGACCGTTAAAAACCTCACGGATACATTACGAGTTTTATCAATTTACCGGACCGTTCCGGACCGCGCACACCCCTACAAAATTGCATAGACGGACTGATGCTTCATAACAAAGAAGTGCAGACAATTACAGAAAGTATATACAGAAGGAACTTTCACATGACAAAGTAATGGCGGTGCATAAGTTAAATGACAAAAACACAATTTCTGTTTCTTCAGCATCTTTCCTCATAATGAATATATACACAGGAGTGATCACACGAAGCTCGCATCTGAGTCTCCTGTTCTAGATAGAGTGGCCAAGTCAATCAAGTGACGCATTGTTGGTCTCCCATGCGGACAGTTCCAAGGAGATTTCAATTGTGCCAAATGCTCAAGTATCTGAAAATGCCCCCACCCAGAGCAAAAGTCAAGCTAAATTAAGAGGAGCACAAGTATGACTAATTCATAGATGAAAAGCTAGCTATCTCAACTTGGTTAAAGTAGTTGATTTACTAGTTCCAGGATACGAAAAGAATAGTAGTAAAATATATACTCCCAACTCCCTCCATCCCAATTTACCTATCTTACTTTTCTTTTTGAGTTGTCCCCAAAATAAGTTACATTTTCTTTTTTTAGAAAGAAATATGTGGTCTACAACATTACACTTTTTTATACTCAAATCTCAACCACAACTTTTATTTTTTCAACCACTTTATTAATAATTGTGCCAAACCAAAGTAGAACACATAAAATGGGATAGAGGTAGTATTATTAAATTGTTAAAAATGAAAAAAGGACAAATAATCCACTTTTACTATTAAGCACCTCTTGGACGCTCTAAAAAATCACTTCTCACAAGCACAACTGAACGCGAACACAGTCATGGTCTTGTAAAATAGTACATCTCCTTGCCACAACAGAGTTGGACTTGAAGAAAGGGGATAGTTCGGGATTTGGATTGGGATGGGTACCTTATACATCTCATTCCTGCCAAGTGGATCTCCAATCATAACAGATGATCTGCAAGCACGTGAAGCCAACATTGCACGCACTCTTGGTGGGCACACCGAATCACATGTGTCCGTCTTATAACTACGTTGAATATTATTACACCCTCCCTGTCTATCATCATCAGCTAGAATAGAAATCAGCTCCTTGACATCTGCATATGTAAACATGAAAACTCAACGATATGAATCTTTTATAAAATGCTTCGCAGTCAAGAGTTAAACTCCTGCAACATAGAGAGATAAATAAAAGTAGTATATTTCATATCAGGTTTAGTAGAAAATGCAAAATGCCTTTTTAACTAACCAGTATCTCCCTACTAATAACAGCTACCTATTACTTGGAAACTACCTGCGACACCGAACATTATCTTTTGACTGAAAGGAACTGCCTTTAGATTGAATCGGAGCCCAGGAGGAGCGTGCACATCTTCTTCCAAAGTAAATCCATTTTTCCTTTAGAGTACAAGTGAAAATGATTATGTTAGTTTACAACCACGCAAAAGGTATTACAAAATCTGATAAAACTTCTTATGCTACAAATATAAAACAAACTAAAGCCTTAAATTCCTGCCATTAGTGAACAAAAGTGAGACTATTAGGAAGATTAAATCAATTGATGCAGAACCAAGTTATAAGAGTGTCCTAGCAAAATTCAACTGTTCACACAGATATTTTTGGCATATAACAACATTGCACCGCTTACAAACACACCTTATGGTTTCCATGTTCATGGAAACAATTATTTCCTCTTCAGGAGATAAATCCATCTTCAAGGGCCTATAACATTTGAATGGTCAATTAGAATAACATTAATTTATCAATAACAAACACAAAAATTATGATTTGTTCTATTGATCTACAAGGTTGTCCAACTTACAACACACTAATCATTAATGGACATATTCATGAGTGAAAGAGATGACTTAAATTATACTTTGTCAGACCTACTGCATGCTTGACAACTATTAAGCAACAGATTAATATCCTCACCGAAGCAAAGGTTGCTGATTTAAAATTGTTGACTCCGACAAGCGCTCATAGTTATACTTCTCATCTGCGGCATGCTGATACAAGGAGCGGTATATAAATCATTTCCAACAGATAATGAATTAGCTACCATTCTACCAACAGTTCACCACAAGAAGAAAATGAAAAGGTTGATCAACAATGGAATACTTATTTTGTATTACTGATTATTTACTTCAAGTAAGAAGACCATTACCTGATCCACAATAAAGAGGTCTTGATCTAACTTGCCAATAATAAATCCGAGATTGAATTGTCCAACAACCTGCACAGCATAACCTGGTAAGAATAAGAACCGAATTATCCTGCCCCTCCCAACGTATTGAATAAATAAACGGTCTGTCGTCATAGAAAAAAATAACAATAAAAAATACTTACATTGAAGACCATATATAAGTACTAAAAAACTCTCATTCGGACCAAGTTTCCATTTATATAAAGTGCTTCTCAAAATAAACCTTTTGCATAGAAGAAATATATAAGCCAAGCCTCATGTTAATCAATTGTGAATATAAGCTGCGAATAGCAAGAGGCTTAAAATGGAAGGTTGTTTTGCTTATATGATTTACAATTGAAAGGAAAACCCGAAAGTACCCTGAATGGATAGGAAAAATATACAAACTACCAAATAAGTACATCAAATATTGGACCATCAAAAACTCATAATTGTGACTTTTGAATAATATAAGTAGACATGATATCCTTCATGAAAATATCAGATTCTTTGAAACTAGTGACAGAATACAGATCCTTCAAGATACATTTTGAATTGTATATGAAGATGATGAGCCAACCTTCATCTGTGAAAAGTTTTCTTTTCTGAACAACCTTTCCAACTCAGTAGTCGCAGCAGCCAAAGCTTTTGTCTTTCCCTCTTCATTAAGAGGTTGAGAGAGTTCCAATGATGCTGCAGTATAGCCCCTGTAAGCAGCTCAACATACAAATCATATCAGAATAAAAAGCATATTACATTTACTGCTTGAGGGGAAGACCAATACGTAGATTGGATACCTTTTCATCCCGATGTTCCTAGAGGAAGTGGTGCCCATTTGTAATATTTCTAGCCTCCATTTCCTTCTCGCCATCAAGTCTTTAAAACTAAATTGCATACCATGGCCAATCTTTGAGTCCAAAGAAACTTTTTGAGAATCAGATGATAAGTCAGTAGGTTCTTCTGAAGCAGCTAATACTGAACTGGTGGAAGAATATAATTTGTTTTCACCTTTTATTTTCTGAAATATGAAGCATTGCTAAGAATTATTATAAGGTAATAAGACAAGCATTCGGCATTCCTTATGAGAGATAATGTACACGAGGACACAAGCCTCTTTAATAATAAAATGTGGGCCGTATATTCTTGTACCTCTATGATCTCTCCTTGGCATTTTCTTTCCATGTTGGGAACCACATTCTTCATATGATGAAGGATTCTGCCCACTTTAGACACGGCTGAAGATTCAGTCCTATTTTTAACGGTTTCATCAGAACCGTCGACCCTGTTATA